TAAAGTTCCTATACTAATGTAAGAACTTTACATTCTTAAAATATCTCAGAAATAGTCATTTTATGAAGATTTTTTTTCAAGCTTTGCAGCAAAAAAGGCAATGCTATAGATCTGGAAAAAATGTTACTCTCCTGCCTTTAGAAAATAAATCCGGGATATGAATATATTATATATATTTGAAGATGTTGTGATTAAAAATGAGAAGTGGACACCATTATATTGACATGTGGTTCAAATTTAATGCTCAATGATTGAAGTAATTCTATATGCGTATTTATACTTACCATATAGATTTTTTTCTTTAGTTCTTTAAAAATCAGTATATTTATTTGCAACCCCAGCAATTTAACAAAAATCCATTTAAAATTACAGCAGTTCACATCAACTTCATTGCATCTGAAAGCCTGTCAGCATCTGTGTTTGTGTCTTCCTTGCAATCATTGCAATTTGTTTTGTTACATTAGTCAGCATGAAATAGATTTTTTCTTCTATGCTAGGCAGACTTAGGGTTAACAAATGCTAACAAATATAGCTTCCTGATATTGCTTGCAATGTGATTGTCTTCCAACCATGAATTATCCTGAATGCATAAACAGAGTGCAGTTAGACGTCTGTTATGCCTTCTTTCCAAAGAGGCCCTTGGCATTGTCAGAGAGTGAAGTTCTGTGTAAGCTTCTGTGGGGAAATGGGATAAAAGATGGTGAAGATGATGCTCCTTTTCCGCCTTTAAGGGATTATTTATTTTTATATTTTATTTATTTTTGTCAATTGCTTACAAGATAATAGGTATAAGTAAAAACATAGTTATGAATGCACGGATACATATAAGAAAAATTAAAAAAATAAAAGAAACAATAGGACTAGCACTACTTCGCTATCTTGCCTGTGTACAGGGCTGTTGTCTAAAATCTTTCTTTTTTTAAAGGAGTCCTGAGCACATGGGAAAGGGTTTGCATGGGCTGGCAGTTAGGGTGAAGCACAGCAGGCTTCACACGAGCACACAGAGAGCCCCACCTTACATTTACAAATGACACCAAAGGAAAAGGAATGGCTGATGGTCTGGAGGTCAGAAGTAAAACTGGTTGCATTTTGGGAGCCGGTTATGCCAGTAGTGATATTGCTGGACTAGCAACCCAGGAGGTTGAGACAGAGACACCAGCTGGGAGACTTCAGCCACCGAAGCTCAGCCTATGTTGCAGCACATAATATTTATTATTTCAAGCCTGTACGCAAAAATCTAGTCAACTAATGGTCAGCACTAAATTGGTACTAGATAAGGGTCAACAGAATTCAAAGGGGGGGCTGGACTTGGATCATTTGTGGCAACATAAGGACTCTAACCTAATGACATGTTTAACTCCATCTCCCGAGTTCTGCCTGCTCTTCTCCTACAAAGTCCCTTTTAAAATGAGCTGCCTAAATAGGAGGTGCCTAAACTCAGACTATAGAGGCAAACCAGGGGAGTCAGCAGTAGAGGAAGCCAGTACAGCTGTAGAATTGTTTTCATTCAAATACTAGGCACCTCCTCCTCTGCCTCAGAAAGAACAAAGCTCTCAAATCCCCCCAAAATGGTGCATTTTTCCCTCTGCCAACAAACAGCTGGTTTTGTCACCAAAGCTGGCTCTATGGCGACATGCTCCCCAGGTTCAAATGGAAGCAATTAGGAATGACCCAAGACAATCCTTGGACGACCATGGACCCACCTGGGAAGAGGAATCTTGGTGGTTGCAACTCTCAGTTGCAATCTCAGGATGGCCAAGTCTCCATCTTTTGGAGTTGCGAATCAAAAGCTTTGTGCAAAGACCAATGCACAATGGAAGACACGGTGGCTAGTCAATGGTAATAGATTGGGATCCTGACTCATGCAGTATACAGGTCCTCAATGGAAGGCAAGTTGGTTGCAATTATATTTTCTGCAGTGAAGTCTGTAACTGTCCTGTTTGGTTGCTTTACCAAACCAGACAATTATAGAAGTACAAATGACAGACTCAACAGTTCCTCTGTATAACTATATCAGCAGCTCCTGGGGCAATCTGAGCTTTCTGAGCTGATGCAGGAAGAACATTGTCGTGCCTTTTTAATGGTTTTAATGTTAGGTGTCCAATCCAAATCCTGGGATCTTATAGAACCCTTGAAGGTCTCTACTACCGATACTGTGTTGTCTAATACTTGAAGAGGTGGTAGAAGGGCTCCTCCTAAAATCCACTTTCATCTCTACAGTTTTAAGCATGTTCAGATTGTTCTGGCTGCACCATAGGCCAGTTGATCTAACTCTTGTCTATATGCAGACTCATCATCATCTTGAATGCAACCAATGACCTTGAATGATCATCTGCAAACTTTTAACTGAGGGATCCTTTGAGATGCATTTGAGATGGTACAGAGAGAAAAGAGTAATGGAGAACGCACACAACTTGGTGTGTGTGTGTGTGTGTATGTGCCTATGCTAATTTAATTGATATCCGATGTGGATATCCTGAAATTACACCCATTGGTTCCTGTAAGGTTTGCAGAGTCACTACAAAACACATGCTTAAATGTTACTTCCATTGTTTGCTTTGGTTTATTTATTTTTTTTAAAGAGAAAAATTCCTTTGGCCAACTTTGGTGTAGAAAGCACTCAAGATGGAGCTCATCTATCAACTCACTTATGTAGTTTGAGATCAAAAATTGAAGGAGTAAGGACTTGTTTCAAATTCCCATTTTCCCTATCATGGAACACTCAGAACATTTCAAGTTTTGTTCTTTAGACCAACAATTACATGGCTGAGGCATCTCAACTTTTATCTTGTTGGAACTCAGCCAGTTTAGACTTTTCCGAGGACACATTCCAAGGGCTGTTTTGCTCTGAGCTGAAAACAAATCTTTTTTTCAGTTTCATGCATGACTTTAGAAAAAGAATAGTTCTTGACCATAACCCTAACCAGCACAAAAACCCCTTCTGAAGAGCAGCTTGAAGTGCAGATCTTCAGCTCTTAACAAGAACAAAGTGACTTCTGATTTCTGAGCACGTGCGGAAGGCTCAATCTCACCATATCCTGCAGGTCTGGCAGCTGCTTTCCTGCGAGTCCTTCAATGCCCAGATCCTCGTCTTCTTCCGTCCGGGCTGGGATGACCCTCAGAGGGGCCCTGCCTGATGAAGAACTCCTCGTACTGGTCCAAAGGTTTTAGTCATGTGGGAGTTGCATTCTGGAATTTGATGGCTGTTTATTGATTCTATTGTCAGCTGTCATGGCAGGCCTGTAGACTAAGTGTACACGACATATAAATTAACTAAATGAAGTAATAAGTTTATGGCAGATCTAAGCAGAAAGCCATTTGTTCAAGATGGCTCACATTTTTTCTAGAATGCAACTTTTAGGCTCCAACAGCAGCTTTGGGTATCCTAGTAGGGGACTTATTTCATCAGATATCTGATATACCTATTGAATATTTTCCTTCCATGTTCAAGCTCACCTCCCATAACTCCTATGCATTATTCTTTATCTGAGATCAGTTAAACATACATTCCCTACCCTCCTCCACTGATCAAATTCACACTGCTTTAGCCAAATCCATTTCATCAATTTATATGATGAATGACTCTTGCCTGCCATCTTGATATTTGAAACCCTGGCCTCAGAAATGAAGTGTTCTGCTTACGTTGTTGGTGTAATCAGTCATCAACTTTTAGCCTCTTTCTTTCCCTCGCCTGCTTTCTTCCATGAACTGGAAGGATGGGTGAGAAGATCACTTGTGTTTGCAGGTTCTTCAGCTTCTTTTGCAGGTAAGGTGATGCCATTTTAACTCTTCTCTCTGGTACAACTTGTCATTTATTAGCAGGAGTTGATGGAAATATCCTCAAGTTAGAAAAGGGTGTACATAATAATGCTGTACAAAAAAGTATTAATTTTTTATCATGATCATATGTTGACCATTACATTATTCTCCATACTGGTTTATTGTTGGCAAAGTTATCCTCTCATCAATGATTAGAAGTGAAATTCTAATAAAATCCAGTTTAGAGAGGTATAGAGAATGAAAGAAATGGCACTGTTGAGATTATTCGGGAAAACTCTGGGAATTGATACAGAGGAGGTGTTGCCAGTATAATGGAGCAATCAAGTGAGGTGCATTACTTGGATTCTGGCTTTATTTCATACACAAAATGTTACAGACATATATAGGAGCATGGATATTTCTTTACTGTTCTTTACTTCCTGCGGCATCTGCCTGGAGCCCTGCAGGGTTTCTGGTGTTCCTCCAATTCAATCTCTTCTCTGTTGGGACCCCAGAAGCGCCCAACATTTGCCGTCAGGAGGAGGAGGAGGAGGAGGCACTGTCCCTCCGAGGCTGGGTGGACGAACTTTTCACCCAGGCCTGGGCAGAGGGATCCCCTGTTTGAAGTGATTCTATTGTCCTTTCTGGGGGCCTGCAAGTGGCATAAATGGCGGCGGCGGCTGCGGAAAGCGAATCGGAGGCGGCGAGGGGCAGCCAGGCCTTCGGCTGAGGCGGGGAGCCGAGTTCGGGCATCCCAAGCAAAGGCAACATCCCAAGTATGACAACAGACCTAGAATTCAGGCACCGCGCGGACCCTTCGGCTTCCCGCTCCCGAAACGTCCGGCTTTGGGCGCCCAGCCGGGAGGAAAGGCCGGGAGGCAGCGCCGCGCCATCGGGGCCCGGGAGCCGGGACCGCCGCGGCAGCCCAGCCACACTCCGGGGGGCTTCTCCCTGGCGAGAGGCGGGGGGGGGGTTTGGTTTTGGGCAGACTCTCGAGCCACCCGGCAGGAAGACCGGCTGCCCGTCCGCGTCCCTGCCTCCGGGGGGGCCTTTCGTCCGCCTGCTGCGGCGGAGGAGGGCGCCTGCCTCGGCCTTCTCGTCCGCGGGCCTCGGCGTTCAGGCGGCACCCGGCGGCAGGCGCGGCCGCGGCTCACAAGGGGTTACGGCTGCCGCGGCGGGCGGCTCCTCCTCCTCCGCGCGCTGACAGCAGCAGCATCAGCATCAGCAGCAGCTGTCTGGTGCTCCCGGGCCCGCCGGCCGGCTAGTCGGCGCGGGCATCCGAACTGGGGGCGGTGCCGGCAGGGGACCCGCGAGGAACGGCCGCCGCCGGGCAGGTGAGGCGGGGGCGGCAGCTGCGGAGGGGCGGGCGGGCATCCCCTCGGCGCATCCAGCCGGCGGAGGAGGCCCTCGGGGGCGGCCGTGATCCTCCGGCGCGAGGGGGCTCGGGCGCCTTAGCCCCGCCACCCAGGAACTCCTGCGGGGGAGGCAGGGAGGGCGCGGCGGGGCGGTGAGGGGCGCGCCGCGCGAAGCTTCCCCAGCCTCAACCGGGGAGGGGCGGCACCTGCCCTCCGCAGCCGCTCGTCCGAGCCGCTTTTCGGCCTGCGGGGAGGGCTCCTCGGCCAACGCCCGCCCGTCTCCCGCGGGGAGGGAAGCTCGGGAACTTGCTGCGCGCGCTCCGCCGGCGCGCCCACTGCGGCAAATTCCGCAGCTGGCGCCCTCTGCTCCGAACGCCCCGCGCCCCGCCCCGCCCCTCCCCGGGGCCGAGCCGCCGGCCTCCAGCCGAGGGGTGCCCGCCGGCCTCGGGGAGGGCCGGCGCGAGCGGCCGTGGCTGCCCAGGCGGGGTCTCCTGGCCCCGCGGCTGCTTCCCCTCAAGTGCAGGTTGCCCCGGGCGCCGCGCCTCCGGGCCCCGCAGCCATGCCGGCCATGGGGGCCCCTCCCTCCAAGATGGGCGACGAGGAACCCGTGGAAGGTTCTCCGATGGACCGGGCCAAAGGAAGGAAAGGGCCCCGGCCTGGAGAAGCGCCCCAGGCCTCGCGCCCGAAGGTCGGAAAGCGCAGGCGGGCGCCCTGCTCCTGCCCGGGCGGGGAAGGTCACGCGCAGGCGGGCCCAATGCAGCAGCAGCAGCAGAGTCCGGCCATCCGCGGTGGGCTCCATCTGGGGGGCCCCCCAGGCCCTCAAGGGGAGGCTGGCCGGGTGGCGGCTGTCCCCCTTCTGGGCTGCCCCTGCAGGCAAAGGGCTCCCCTTAGAGGGTCACTGGCCCAGCCCAGCCCTTCCCTCCTCCTCCATGCAGGCCAAGCCAGAGCAAATTGGGGAGTTTGGGGGAAACTAGTCTCCAAGGTCCCAGGGCTGCTCCCAGGAGACCCTTCTGCCTCCTCCCGAGGAGGGATCTTCCACCAGCAGAGAAGGGAGTCTTGCCCTAATCCCCACAGCAGAAGCTTGGTTATAAGGTTGCTTCTGTTTCGCTCCGGAACGGCTCTCTTTGCTGCTGGTTCAGAGCTCCAGGGTACAGCAAGGAACCGCTGGGAGTAGGAAGGGGCTGCTCAGGGGATCTCAGCCAGCATTTTTGCAACCCAGAGCTTGACCACTTGCTGAGCCTGCCAAGAGCTTAGAGATGCTTCTGAATGTATCCTCTCCTGCCTGGATAGACCATCTTCCCCATTCTTCCCACTCTGTGAAGGTTACTGGTGGGAGCAACACTCAGGCAGGTCAGGCAGGAACCTTCACATTGTCCAGTTTCAGGTTGCACACCAACCATTTGGAGGTGAAGGCTAGGCCTAGCAGATAGCCACCTCTGTGGACCGGGAGTGACATTTTGTGTGACAAGCCCATGATTGCCATGATACAGTGAATTTCCAATTGTTCCCTGAAATATCCCACAGCGCAAATATTGAAAGAACTCTACCGGCTGTCCTTCAGCAAGGATCTGCTTGGCAAGACATGATTGGGATTCCCAAGTTTTCCCTAAGCTCAGTGTAGCAGGCCGTCCTTCACAACTCATCACCTCCACAAGAGGTCACTGTTAGATTGTCCCAGATGACCATTCGCATCTTATCACTCTTAAAGCATGGGGGGGGCAGGATTTGAAAGCAGGGAAGCGGATCTAAGAGGGCAGTAGCCCCATTCCCACGAACGCAGGGTTACCAGGCCCACCAAGGTATGGGCAAAGGTCTGTCTGTCTTTCTATCTGCCCATCTGTTTAATCTACCAAATTTATAAGTCACCCATCTCCCTCACAGAGGGATTCAGCCTTTATCAACAGCAGTCTGGCCAAAACTCCCTTCACTTGGACACTGTGCTGAGGCTGTTTGGTCCGAAAGGGAGTGGGCATCAAATAGCTATTTCCCTCCCCTCACAACCCCCTGCCAAACCTCCCCTCTGAAACATTCACCCTCCCGTTTCTCCTGCCTCCCATTGGTTCCAAGCCAGCCCCAATTGGTGATCACAGAGTCGGGGATATTCCTTCCCTGCCACTCCCCCAATTGCTTTATACATCCTTTCCTCCGGGGGGGGGGGGGGGGGAAGTACCCAGCTACCCCATTCTCCGTGGCTCTTTTCAGTCTCTTCCCACTTATTTTATGGATATAGAGTTTCCCTGAACTAGGTTTCTGTAACCCAGAATGGGTTGGCGTGCTTATCAAAATGATCTCTGCTCTTTAGCAGAATCTGGGAAGAATTGGAAGTTAGAAGTGGTTGGTGTTTCTTCGCCAACAACCTGTCTTGTACACCACTACATCTGGAAAGATAGGTCCGATCTTCAAACAAAGCCATCCCCAATTCACATTATTAACTCCCAAGAGCATTCTGCAAAATGCTGGATAGTGTTCATTCCATTATTGGCTTTTTTAATATTCACAGATTTTGGTTGATTTTGCATTTTAAGGAAGTTTAGCTCTGTATTTTGATTATGCACTATAAAATTGGTATTGATTCTCAGTGACCACATAGATAGATTTTCTCAAAGTATTTTGAATATCCACACTATTCTGTGTAAGGAAGGAGGGAAAAGAGATAAACTTTTGTCATGGAAAGATCCTGTAGTGAAGGTTGTTGACAATGGCAAAGATCCCTCTGGGGTTATTGCCAGCCCCATCATTTGCCATTATCAAGGCAGGAAGGGTCACTGAAGCTGCCGAGGTGGGCCCCCGGGCTGTGCTTAGCCCACATCAGTGAAATTACAGGTAGTCCTTCACTTATAACCAGAGTTGGTATTCAGCAAGTTCTGACCAGTTCTGGAGAACCGGTAGCGGAAATTTTGAGTAGTTCAGAGAACCAGCAAATCCCTCCTCTGACTGGAGATTTTACAGTCCCCTTCCCCTCCCACGACCACCAAGCTATGCCCAGCAGAACCGGTAGTAAGAAAATTTGAACCCCACCACCGCTTATAACCATTCATATAGTGTCCTTTTGAAATTACAATAGCTTATAATTACTTTTCATATTTAATGACCATAGTAGCGTCCCCGTGGTCATGTCATCAAAATTGGATGGTGGACAACTGGCATGTAATTTATGAGGTTGTGGTGTCTCGAGGTGACGTGATCCCCCTTTTGCAGCCTTCTGACAAGCAAAGTCAATGGGGAAGCCAGATTCACTTAACAACCGTTAACTGCAGGGATAAGAAAGTGATAAAATGGAGCAAAACTCACCTAACAACTGCCTTGCTTAGCAATGGAGATTTTGGGTTCAGGGATGGCTGTAAGTCAAGAACTAGCTGAAAGTCTGTGGAGATTCTCCGCCCTCCAGGTCCTGGTTGTCCCAAAGGTGATTCTGAGGACACAGATAAGTCTCCAAGTGCTTCAAACATCCTCTAAAACAGGGTTATCAAACTCGCAGCCTGCAGGCCAGATGTGTCATGTGCTGGCCCCATCCCCACCCAGTTTAGCAAAGGGGGGAAAAGTCCCGATACATCATGTGATGTTGCCGTGATGACATGAGTTTGACCCCCTGCCTTAAAAGGATGCCGATTGCCAGCTGTCTGCAAGGAGTATAAATCCTTCCATTCCCCACCATCCAGTAAGAGCTGAAGAAGCTTCTTGGAGGAGAAGTGAAACGTCTTCAAAAGAAAAAAACAGGAAAGTCCAGTTGCCTGCTGAAAAAAAGCACCTTTGGGACAACCAGGACCTGGAAGGGGAACGCTTCCCATGTTCCCCTTCCGATGTGGGGTTTCACACTTTGGCTTAGTTGGGTCAGTCAGCGAACTTTATACTACCAAAATGAGGATAAAAATAATAATTCAAGATTGTTACGAAAAACTATGAGCAAGAAAAGTTTCAGATGAGAAAATTAAACAATATTTGGAAAAGTGGAATTACCTAAAATACCAGAAAAAATAAAAACTATGTTAAATGAACGAATATCAATGATGGAATTATCAGAAGTGATCAAGAGACAAAAGAATAATAAAACACCAGGGCCAGATGGGCTGCAGGCAGAATTTTACAAATGTTTACAAGATACTTTAGGCCCATCAGTGCTGGAAGTCCATAATGAAGTATTGATTGGTGCAAAGGTACCAAATTCGTGGATGAAAGCAAATATTACTTTGATTCCAAAAGATTCAGATTTAATGCAGATAAAAAACAGTAGACTCATATCTTTATTGAACACTGACTATAAAATAGTCAGTAATGGCACAGAGTCAATAATGGCACAGAGAGTAAAAAAGTTTCTAAATGAATTTATATATTCAGATCAAAATGGCTTTTTGCCTAAGAGACAGATTAAAACAATATTAGAATAATTTTGACTTCAAAGGCAATTTGCTATAAACAAATGGCAAAGGTGATAGAAAATGGAAATAGGACAGAGAATTTTAATATAAAAAGGCACAAGAAAAGGATGTCCACTATCTCCTTTACTATTCATATTGATATTAGAATTGCTAAATAGAAATATTAGACAAGAGATAGAAAATAAAGCTATGGAAATAAAAAGGGAACAATATAAATTATAGGCATTTGTAGAAGATTTGCTCTTTATCTTGGAAGACCCACAAGAAAATGGACTCAAACTAATTAGGAAAATAGAAAAGTATGGTAAAGTTGCAGGAGTGAAAATAAATTTTAAAAAATCGAGATAATTGTTTACAGACATATAGGAAAAGAACTAACGAGGAAAATAGGTATAGAGGTAGTCAAGAAAATTATAAATTGGTGCAACCAATTAAAACAAATTTAGTTAAGTGGAAAAATCTACAACTATCATTGATGGAAAGAGTAGCCACCATAAAATTGAATATCCTGCCAAAATTACTGTATTTATTCCAAGCAATACCAATAAAACTGGAGGAAAAAATATTTTGAAAAATTAAACAATATTAAAATATATTTGGCAAGGGGAAAAAAAAGCAAGGATAAACTTGAAAATGTTGCAAGATTGTAAAAATTTTGGCTATTCGATTGAGTTAGACCAATGGCAGGATTTATGGGATAGAAATTATAAATTAACAATGTCTACTGCATTCTAAGAAAATCTTTATAAAATGTTTTATAGATAGCATTTTCCGCCTTCAAGGTTAGCAAAGATGTTTAAGAGTAAATCTGCAAAATGTTGGAAATATCATCAGATACCTGGTTCATACTATATCACAGGGGTCCCCAACCTAC